ATGTTGAACATGCAGGAAATCAAGCTTGGCGAACGTATGTTTTCGATTTCTCGTCATCAGGCGATTACAATGATACAAGGAAGGGCAGAGAAACAAAAGTATAAGCATCCAATCAAGGGTAAGTAGGGAAAGGTGAGAGGGTGAGAAGACGATCAGTCATCAAGGGGTCTGATTATAGTCATACCAAGTAGTGAGAGAGGGGGGAGGGGGAAGTGGTCCGACAATAAGTTAATGACGCGGCGTGGTCACTGTAACACGAAGTGGTAGGAGGTGTGAAGACGCATGATGACTTAACGTTCGGCTAAGTGGGCCTTACTGCCTGTATAAACGCCCTCTGCACGCACACAAAATCGGGTTAATTGGCCTTATGGCGACTGCCGTCGCAGGAACTTTTGATATCTCGTCGTTACTTAATAAATGAATTGGAACGCTTGGTTAACGTCGACCCGGTGACCGCTGTCAATCACGTGCGCCACAAATGGTACTAGGTGTGAATTTTACCACGCCCTGGTTTAGCCAGGCAGTATGGTGTTCTCGCATCTGCTTTGATAGACGCCTAGTTGTTCGACCAATGTTAAGCTTATAAATTGGTAGGGTACAGTCGGAAGCACCTCCCCCAGTATTAAAGGTGGCCATGTGCTAGCTTCCTAGCGGTTAGGGTTAGGAACCGCCTAGATATCTTAAACTCTTTAATTTTGCTCTACTCTGCTGTGAGAACATTCTTGTGTGTATGTAAAATCTCTGATCTGTAACCAATTCGCTCATTTCTTTTCAAAATATTCTTCGATAACGTAACTCTTCGAAAAATGGGAATTTTAAAGGTACCGGGTTGTTGCACTTGGTTCTATTAACCGCAGATGTCTGTAAGTTTAAGCAATTTGTTCATTTTAAGTGGAGCAGATGTGGCTGATGGAACAAGATGACCTCACAATTCAGTGGAGAGGAACAAGTATACATTATGCTTTGAATGTCGGTAAAAAATGCTCGGAAGCTTTATAGGAGTCAAAGAATGAGTAAAAGCATGCCCAACAAGTGGTGGCCAACAATGTCGGAACATTTAAACAGAAGGTGGTCCTCTCAAGAAAACTGCTGTCTATTGGTCTCTGTAACAGTGGAGTCTCGAACATAGTTCTGAGAGAATAGGCTGGCTACTTTTGGTAGACTGGTCAGAATTGGATAGGGGACAAGAAGTTGTGTGCTCTAGAGGGGCTAATGCAAGGTTACAGGTGGCCTTGCACTGAATTCCATGGGAAAGGGGGAGGTTGGCGTCAAGGTTGGCGTTAGAATCAAGACTAAGGTCTGGACACGAGAACGGGTACCGCTCTTCGAATTTGGCGCGAGGCCACCTATGATACAAGGTTTATTTATACCCGTGTGCAACCCATAAGTTCACTCGAAGTTTGTGTACGCACCCAGAGTAAACGGGACGCCATAAACCTCGTGTTCGGTGTGAATGTTAATGTGAATGTTTGAAATTAAATGTACCAACATCAGCCGAATAGTAGCCAACATGCACGTTCTGACTACGTGCAGACTGTGATATGTGATCACTGAGTGATTTACTCCACTGCCAGCGGAAGTATTAGCTAAAAATCCAGAGACATG